ACGACTGGTGCAGTCAGTTTTATCGACGAGTCGTCCTCTCATTATATTAGTAATAACCTGGGTAAAGACGAGGAAGGTGGGAGGTGGAGAGTGAGCTAAAGCAGATTTTAAATCTTTCTCTGCGTATTCCTATCATCCGTGGTGACTTCTACCAGATCTACACCGACAAGACGCAAACATGTCGGGCGCTCCGTTGTCTCAGTTGGTATCATGCCGAAACATGGGGCTGACCAGGCAGCCTTTGGTTCACTTCCCCAACTGGGTATTCTTGAACTCCAGTTGTTTTATGGCATGTTAAAGGCTCTCAATCTCTCAACACATTTGGCTCCGTCTTATCGGAGATTGACGTTAAATTTGGAAGTCCAGCCAATTACATACTTCATAGTTTTGAAAGAGGTGTTAAACCTACCCACAGAAAAGACATGTTCTGAACAATCTGTCTCGGTGTGATGTTCAATACTGCCTTATAAAATATATAATTTCGATCGCAGGCTCTACGTTGCAGATTTAATGATCTATGTATTGCAAACGAAGAATAAAAGACATATGTGCTGAGAAAAGATGCATATTATGCTTACAAGGGCTAACGCAAGAATTCAGTACCGCCTGGGTGGGAGGTGCGCCAGGCAATTGCAGGCTTGAGTAAAAACAAAAGCACGTTTTGTCAAAATTAAGCAACCAATATGGGCTATTTGTCTTAACAAATCACCGGCCATCCTTCTGGAGATTGTTCCTTATACGCAGTACTTATTACAGAATGTTTACTCAAAGTCCTTTTTGATTTGGTTTGATATACTTGAGGGATGGCAATAGCTTGTGTTCACTTTATCAAACTCATTTAAGCTTTGCTACATCAAATTTTTATCAGGGCATCCATTAAAATCTATAGTATTCCACGAACACACACAAGATATGAAAACGAGAAGCTAAATAACATTCGAAGTGGTTGTTTTTAGCGACCGTAGAAATCGTATCGTGACCTACAAAATCAAACATGTATGATTTTAGGAGAATTTGATTATTTGTGCAAAGTAGTAGCTCTTGTCTCCCCACCAAGAAGAAAAACACACCAGGCACTCCTAAATTGTTAGATCTATATCTATCAAATGGAGTTGATAAAACTTTCTGCAATGAGGCCTGGGTAGTAGCCCCCCCCCCCCACAAAACCCACCAAAAAAAAATAAAAAAATAAATCTTAAAATCTGTTCAGTGTCTTGGAACTCCGGCAACACTTACCGAGTTTGCGTTAGGCAAACGGTACGGCTCAGGCGACGGAAACGAATAGTAAAAAGAATCAATTACTTGTATTCTGCGGAGAAGCATCTCTCCATCATGACAGTCCAAGAAGGGCCTGTTTAAGTGTGTCTGTGGGGGGGGGGGGAATGAGTGTAGTAAATCGACCAGGAGGAGTGGGGGCGGTGGAGGTTAATAAAACGAGTTATAACGGAGCACCAATGCATTGGGCCAGAAATATGGTTTGGAGAACGGTAATGAGCATGCATGCTGTGTGTCTGTATCTTGTTTATGAGAGCTTGCAGACAGACAGTGTTTGTGGGTGTCGGAGAAGGACAGGAAGAGGCCCTGCACTTTGTAATTCACACACACTTGCACAAATGCAATCATACTCTCGAGATCACTCTATTTTCTCTCTCTCTTACTCACTTACTCTCTCTCTCTCTCTCTCTCTCTCTCTCCCTCCCTCTCTCTCTCCCTCTCTGTGTGTCTCTCTCTCTCTCTCCCACACACACACACACACACACAAGCAAGCGATCTCTAGCGACTGGCACAATGTGGAATAGAGAGAGAAAGAGAGAGAGAGAGAGAGATAGAGAGAGAGAGAGAGAGAGAATACTTATTTACTTAACAAGTTTCCATTTGCTAATGAAGATAAGAACAATGACTCAAGAGAAAATTAGCTGACGAGGATTGAACTCTCTGACAACAGTAGAAAGGACTGGTTTGTGCCCCTTTCGATCACTCTGACCTCATTACACCGAAGGCAGCGGATGATTAATAATGGCGGTATTCAGGGAAGTGTAGATTTGAACCGAGGTTGTTGACGTGCTCACGCACGCTGAATAAGAGAATGTACCCTGGCACGCCCTCTCTCTCTCTCTCTCTCTCTCTCTCTCTCTCTCTCTCATT